GACTTGACAAACGTTCCCCACTACATAATATAAGGCACCGAGCAGTAAGAGAAGGGGACACGTTTGTCAAGTCACCGAACAGTAAGAGAGGAGGAGACGTTTGTCAAGTCACTGAGCAGTAAGAGAGGAGGAGCGGTCAGAAACTTCTGTTTCTCTTCAGAAACTTCTGTTTCTCTTCACTCCACAATATAATATAACCAGGAGCGGTCAGAAACTTCTGTTTCTCTTCACCCCACTACATAATATAACCAGGAGCGGTCAGAAACTTCTGTTTCTCTTCACTCCACAATATAATATAACCAGGAGTAATATAACCAGGGGCGGTCAGTATTGTGGAGTGAAGAGAAACAGAAGTTTCTGACCGCCCCTAGTTATATTATGTAGTGGAATGAAGAGAAACAAAAGTTTCTGACCGCTCCTGGTTATATTATGTAGTGGAGTGAAGAGAAACAAAAGTTTCTGACCGCCCCTGGTTATATTATGTAGTGGAGTGAAGAGAAACAAAAGTTTCTGACCGCCCCTGGTTATATTATGTAGTGGGGTGAAGAGAAACAGAAGTTTCTGACCGCTCCTGGTTATTCGGGGAATGAAATATACTTTTAACCTAAATTCCTAATCATGCCAAACTGAACGTTATTTTTTATTAATTATGATTTTAGTTTATTTTTTATGCTGGTTGGTTTTAAACTTTAAAGGTTTCATTTTTACTTTTCCACCACATATCTAACAATACTAGTCGGGCTTGTTCACGTGCAGTTAATGATCCATAACGAGCACGTTATGGTACTATAAATCACGGGAATAGAAGGCCCATAGCAACCACAACATGCTGTAATCTGTGTGGATTTTCAGGGAGGGTGGGAAACGGAAAGGAAGGGACCTATATATCACACCCATAACGCGAAACAACTCATACAAAGGTTTAACAAAATGTTTTAAACTTGTTTAAACACGAAGTAAGATCGTTTAACTGACACGATTCTACTCATCTGGATTCTTCCACCATCAGAGTGTTACATTATTAACTAATTGGTCGTTTGTAACTCTCACAGAACCAAGTCTCAAACAACACACACACACACCAGAAAAAGGTAAATTTATTCTAGTTATTTATAAATAAATGTAAAACACAAGAAACATACAATCTGTGTTTCAATTTTGTAACGAACATAATAAACAGTTGTCTTAAATTACTTGTCGTAAGGTTGTTATCAAAATATCAACAAGACTCATATTTGAAATGAACACAAAACTAAAAGTATTACAGGAAAACAAAAAATGTCTCTGGGAGATTATTCTTTCACCAGATCTGATCAAAGTGTAACAAATGGACACGAGGGGGCACAAGGGGGAGTTTGTTTCCCTCAGGCCTGTGCCTAGAAAGGGGGGGGTAGGTTAATACCTGTTAGTAAGTTTAAAGCTGCCATAAAATTGTACCTCGTATATTTTATGATTATTGACAAATCATGGAAACACATTTTTGTATTTCTATGTAACCCTTGAGCCCAAAAGTTGGGTTTTAATAAAACAGTTTTTTTCTGGAGTGTCATTAGTCGTTTTATTTTGTAAACAAAGTTAAAAGTCAGATTAAGAAAATACACCAGCTATAAAAGTCAGATTAAGAAAGTACATCAGCTACAAAAGTCAGATTAAGAAAGTACATCAGCTGTAAAAGTCAGATTAAGAAAGTACACCAGCTATAAAAGTCAGATTAAGAAAGTACACCAGCTATAAAAGTCAGATTAAGAAAATACATCAGCTACAAGAGTCAGATTAAGAAAGTACATCAGCTGTAAAAGTCAGATTAAGAAAGTATACCAGCTATAAAAATCAGATTAAGAAAGTACATCAGCTACAAAAGTCAGATTAAGAAAGTACACCAGCTACAAAAGTCAGATTAAGAAACTACATCTGCCGTAAGTCAGATTAAGAAAGTACACCAGCTGTAAGTCAGATTAAGAAAGTACACCAGCTATAAAAGTCAGACATGTGAACTTTAACCCCTACCCATGCACATAGAGTTAATATTATTTACTTAAGTCTTATTGCAGAAGTCACGATTAATACCAATCATTTGAGTCATGTTTAATACCATTTAAAAGTAAGACTGTATCAGAATAAAGAGTTTGATTGTATTATATTACCTTGTTTGTTATTTGAAGTGTACCTGTTGTTATAGATATTAATATGTCATTGTAAAGTATACAAATCTTGTAATAAAAATTGAACTTTTAAACTCGTGCACAGAGAAATGTTCATTTCAACTTACGATCCTAACAATAATAGCCTGTTTTATCTCTTCTCAAAATAGTGTAGAAATTCTGTAGTAAGAACAAAATTGGATATATTTCAGTTAAACAACATTCTTAAAACACATTAACTGGTGTACTTACTTAATTATGACCTTTTACAGAGTACCATTCAACATGGTATTATGTATTTGACGTCAGAGTTATCAACTAGTTATTTTATCCTACGTTGTTGACTAAGTGACAGTCTATAGTAGAGGAGAGTAAATATCAGATACAGTGTCCAGGGCTACCGAAACAACTGTAGTAGAGGAGAGTAAATACCAGATACAGTGTCCAGGGCTACCAAAACAACTGTAGTAGAGAAGAGTAAATACCAGACACAGTGTCCAGGGCTACCGAAATAACTGTAGTAGAGGAGAGTAAATACCAGATACAGTGTCCAGGGCTACTGAAAAAACTGTAGTAGAGGAGAGTAAATACCAGATACAGTGTCCAGGGCTACCGAAAAAACTGTACATATGAATTTCAGAAGTTCCAGATGTTATGAAAATGCATTAAACAAACTGTACGATGGATAAAAGTATCTTTATTCTTCACCTGAACATCACCAACTTGTCTGAGTCAAACTTACATCGTCAATTCACAGATACATTTTGAGTATAAATACTTTTGTAGAACATCTGATTTTTTGTGTACAACAAACCTGTACATTTTACATTCAATGCCTTTTGCGTAGATACACGTAGTAAAATCAGAATTACGGTGATCAATCCTTCTTATGTACCAGGTCAGTCCTATGGGCCAAGCCCATCTGTTTAATTATGATTGCTATTAATCATGAAATCCTTTAAGAGCTCTTGATCTCTAAAAAAACTATATCTACAAGGTCTCTAGTTTTTAAAATCTACAAATTCAGTGAAAAATTCTGATACCTTACAGTTTTTCTTACACATCATTCTGTGTTTTCTATCTGAAGAAACAACTTAGCTTATATAAAGCAACCATAAACTTTCAATTAAACAGAATGTTTACACGAGTTAAGAAGACAGTCATAACTGAAACAAGTATAAAAATTTTGAATGACTGGCTCAAATAAATATGAAGAATGTGCCGTGCCAAGTTAATTCACTTTTGAAATTCAAACTGAACCAACTTTCCAATTTGATGTTTTTCTACGAGTTTACAACCTGCTTGCTGAAAGGCAGAGTCGACTGTCGTCGATCGGGATCTGGCATCCTACAGATTCGAATCCTGGGAGAAGCTCGGATCTTGGTCATGTCTTGGGGCGTTAGGAAAATGAACTGATGTCGGAGCTTATGAAGGGCTGTGTCTAGCATCATGTCCATACTAACCCTTCTATTGGCCATGTCCTAAGAACAATTCATCCAAGAAAGTTCAGGTGAGAGAGAACAACAATAATTATAAAACAAAGTTGTTGTATAGTTGTGACAACCACGTGTTCGAAGTTCACTGATGTAAGTTATATGTAATAGCAATACTAACACTTGTTAACAATGCAACTATTAATTTAAAGCTTTAACACTAAATCTAATTATCTACCAAATGCTAGTCAGAACGTTCTAGCTGTTCATTTATCAAGCTGTGTAATTTCACACTTTGTTATAACCATCAAGAAGAGTTATGTGTAATATTACACTTTGTTATAACCGTCAAGAAGTTATGTGTAATTTTACACTTTGTTATAACCGTCAAGAAGAGTTATGCGTAATTTTACACTTTGTTATAACCGTCAAGAAGAGTTATGTGTAATTTTACACTTTGGTAGCAGACTGTGTATCATACCTAAATGCTGAAGCTTTTCATGAACTAACCTGTTTACAATGTAGGAAGTAGTCCATAATCTTTAGAGAATTTTGGTTATTTGTCTTCAATTATTTATTTTCTAAAAACCTACAGAAACGTCTTGGAGCATTATTACAATCAAAATTACCTTTATGAAGGCTAGCAGCTAAGCCTATACTAATTATAATCGCCATGTTGGTACAGCTTGTACAAATTTACGTTGACTTGCTAAAAAATAAAACAACCATTCTGAATGCCACTACGAATTATTTTTTGTATTTGTTTTACATGATGAAATTTATCAATTAAAACTAGGAAACTTTTTTTTTTTTCAGAAGGACCTACAAACTTCACCAGTGTGTTACTTTCTGCTTAAGAATATAACATTACTTGTTGATTGTCATTTATTTTTAAGCAAAGCCACATTAGGCTATCTGCTGTCTCCACCATTGGAAACGAAACTCCGGATTTTAGCACCGTAAGTCCGTAAGCTTACCGCTATCTCACCTGGGGACTGTTGGTTATCTCGAACAGTATTATTAGAAATTAGAATTCATTATATTTAATCTCATTGTTTTCATTCAGTGTATCACGAGTTCAAAATTAAAGTCAAGAAAGAAACTTTAACACACTAATATGCTTGAGAAATAGTTGTCACAGAAATAACCTGATATTTGTAGGCTGTTAATATAAATATAGTCTCATTTATGTCTCTCGTGTGGGATTTACTCCCGAACTCAGTTATCACAACATCTGAAATTTGAAATTACCATAAACACATCAAATTCATCCAATATCCGAAATGGCGATTCCACGGCGTCCCACAAAGCCAGTAGAAAACAAACTGTGGCGAACGATCGTTCTCCTCCAGACAAAGACTTTAAGTCAGAATTGTATTCTTTGACGGTTTCGTTTGTTCGAACCTAGAGATATAAATATTTAAAGATTCTTGACTGCTAAACAGAAAATTATTTTTAAATTTGTAAACTCTTGCATGAAAAAATGTTTCACATAAAAACTAATATCGGTAAATATTAGAACATTACCAGAGTAACCACTGTTATTCTCAACAACAACAACAAATAAACTGATAACTTCTTACAATCAATAAGATCTTTCTAAACTTCGAGTGGCAATTAAATTTTGTAGTTATAACCAACACTGACAATTTCTTACGACAATCATTAGAACCTTTCCTAAACTCTTAAAAGACCACTACTTATTAAGTTATATATGTACAGAGGAACTCACTTCGATCTTCAGTGTTTCTTCCTTGTGATCGAAAGAGATTTTCCCATCATAATTCCGCTGAGATAGTGCCGTGATAAACAAGTATTTTATACGTAGACAGAGTTGTTGTCGGAATATTCTATAAGCTTTCTTCCTCTTTCGAATACCTTCATCCAACGCCTGTTTAAAAGACAATATTATTCTTATGTAAGTGTGAAAGCTCACGATCTATCTTACAAGTGCATGAGGGAATTAGTGTGAAAGGTCACGATCTATCTTACAAGTGCATGAGGGAATTAGTGTGAAAGGTCACGATCTATCTTACAAGTGCATGATGGAATTAGTGCGAAAGCTCACGATCTATCTTACAAGTGCATGATGGAATTAGTGCGAAAGCTCACGATCTATCTTACAAGTGCATGAGGGAATTAGGGAACTTCCTTTATTATTTTCACCTAGTGAAAATCGTCACCGTTTGAAATGCCAGAAGCTCAACTTTTTTATTGTTACCACATAATTCTTTCAGCTGTAGAAACTCCACAGATTTTATAGTAAGGAAAAGTTCAAAACAAAGTACTCCTTTTTTTTTTCTTTTTAACATGGACTTATACAGGTTTTCACTTATTATAGTATTTAACTATTTATTGGTGAGAGCCCCAACTATTTTTTCTATTGAGAGTCCTAGCTATTTTTTTTTATTGAGAGTCCGGGGCTCTCAATAAAAAAATAGTTGGGACTCTCAATAAAAAAAATAGTTAACTACTTTTTGTATTGAGAGTCCCAACTATGTTTTCATTGAGAGCCCTAGCTAATTTGTTATTGAGAGTCCCAACTATTTTTTTATTGAGAGCCCTAGCTAATTTGTTATTGAGAGTCCCAACTATTTTGTTATTGATAACCCTGGCTATTTTTTTTAATGAGAGCCCCAACCAACAAGAGTGATATGATTAAAATAACCAGTTTCTTTTAGGTATAATACCATTTTTACATTCATATATTATAAGTGTAACAAACACTGAAATCTAGAAAATAAACACTAGTAAACTTCAATCTAACTCCTGGAAGAAGTATAGTCTAGTAAACTTCAATCTAACTCCTGGAAGAAGTGTAGTCTAGTAAACTTCAATCTAACTCCTGGAAGAAGTATAGTCTAGTAAACTTCAATCTAACTCCTGGAAGAACTATAGTCTAATAAACTTCAATCTAACTCCTGGAAGAACTATAGTCTAGCAAACTTCAGTCTCATTCAAGAAAAAATAATTGTCCGCTAAACTTCAAAGCCTATTTGATTCATAGAAAAAGTATAAAACTTACTAGAATATGTTTTTAATAATTTAATTTCATATTTTGGTTGCTAGATGGTGTTTTTAACCTATAGAAATTTTGTGAATATCAAGACCTGACACGATATTTGGAATCTTGGGAAGGTACGAGGAAAACAAGTATTGTATAAAAACACCAGGGTGTGCGTAAGTTTGTCAATCAGCGAGTTATTTAGACAGGGAGCCAGTAACTCAGACACTGAGTTAGAGTGAGTTCAAGAGAATTAAGTAAGCCAGTTGATCAGTAGTTAGTGAATCTGTTAATGTGTGATCAACTGATTACCGAGTGCTTGAGTCAGCCAGTTTTAAGTTGTGTCATAGATACAAGAGGAAATTTTTCAAGTAAGTAACAGAGCAAGTTTTATTTGTGAGTCAGGCATATCCTTAATTTGAGAATTCCTACTGGATGTTATTTATGTTGTTAGGACTATCAGTGATCAACTGATTACCGAGTGCTTGAGTCAGCCAGTTTTAAGTTGTGTCATAGATACAAAAGGAAATTTTTCAAGTGAGTAACAGAGCAAGTTTTATTTGTGAGTCAGGCATATCCTTAGTTTGAGAATTCCTACTGAATGTTATTTATGTTGTTAGGCCTATCAGTGATCAACTGATTACCGAGTGCTTGAGTCAGCCAGTTTTAAGTTGTGTCATAGATACAAAAGGAAATTTTTCAAGTAAGTAACAGAGCAAGTTTTATTTGTGAGTCAGGCATATCCTTAATTTGAGAATTCCTACTGAATGTTATTTATGTTGTTAGGCCTATCAGCGAACGTAACTCGTATGTTACAGTCGAAGAAATAAATAACTCAGTTAATACAAATAAATGGAGTGGGCTTTGTATTATTTTTACCAAATAATTAAAAAATACAACTGCTGGCTTCGTGCGTAACATTTAAACTTTAAAGAGCTACCATTGTAGTAAAAACTGTTTAAGTTTAAGACAGGAACTTAACGTTCTTTCAAAGCTGTATGCTGTAACCGTTACTAGCTTCATGTATAATATCTAACTTTGGTTAGAGACTTGTTTTGAATTTTTGTGCAAAGTACACTGATAAGACTAGGGGGAAGACAGCTAGCTAACAGCATCAACCACAAATTTTTTGGGCTACTTTAATGAAAAAATGGGATTTGACTGTCACTCTTATGATACCAAAGGACCATGACCCCAAGGTGTGTGTGGGTGAAATTTTGTAGCAAAGAAGTGAACTACTAACCTTCTGACTCATTGGCTAGGCATGATAGCCACTAGGCTACGCTATCCATAACCATAAACAAACTGGTTTTTGATACGAAACTTAAGTGCTCACGTTGAATGACCGATCAACATCGTGAATAACAGCAAAAGAGGTTTTTGAACCAGGTATTGTATTAGAAAGAACTGACAGAGCTAGGCATTAAACACACCTCCATGAATTTCTTCATTTTCTTCATTTCCAGTTGAATCTTTTCGTATTTTTGTTTTGTTTCATAATACTGAACGGTCACTTCCTCCTTGTTGCCATGGCTACAAGAAAACAACACACAAATATAGATTTTAAAAACACTATGCTTTATGTTTTTTTTAAAAAAAAGGCCACTATAAGAACAATTAAATTTTTGAGGGGAGCACTTGAAAAACCTTTGAAGTCTTCAAATCAATATAAAATTCTTTATAAAAATATGTATTTGTTTGTTACTGTAAAAACTAATCAGATATTAGTCACAAAAAAGTATTATTGAAAACTACAAATCACTTCATAATAAGTATACATCCTGTTAACACATCTTCACACACACACACATCCTGTTATCACATCTTCACACACACACATATAATGTTATCACATCTTCACACACACATCCTGTTATCAC